CAATCACATGAGATCTTTCAGTTAAGGAAGATACAACCACTTTTTATGAAGAATGTAAAAGAAGGTTACAAAAGGATCGCCACTGGCTTCTATTCTGAGCCATATCTGATAACGTCTCTAGCCACTGCGTTACACAGTCTCTCGGACCCCAACCAGGTAGTCGTGAAGGACCGACAGAAGCTAGCCCTTTGCAGCTTTCTTTCATACCACGACACCATGTCATATACTGACCACCTCTCCGCTTTTTCCAACCAGTCCCAGAGTCGGCAAATAATGCACGTTGTGGAATTCACTGGGACGACATTCGTAGAACATGTCCAAGCCACCGAAGCCGGTGTTTCAAGATGGTGACACCAATTGGATTGTCGTCTCTGTGCCCGAACACACGATGCCGAACCTCTGCATTACTGACATGGTGAGTCTTCTAACATCTTCAACTCGGAGAGGCCAGGTTTCACAAGCATAGAGCAGGACTGCTCTCACCAACGCGTTGTAGATCCGACCTTTTACAGCTAGACTACCATCACGAAGGCGCCAAAGATGGCCCAGATTGGCATGAGTCGCTTTGGCTTTCATTATACGTGCATTGATCTCATCACTCACGCCACCACCAGCACTTATGCAGCTACCCAGATACACGAACTTCTCGACTACTTCTATCTGCTCACCATCCAGAGTGAGTACAGGATTAGAATCCTGCCAGTCTTGTAGAAGAACTTTGCACTTCGAAGGTGCAAAGCACATACCATACCTACGGACATTGATTGCCAACTGATTAAGTGCGGATTGCATGGCTTGAACATTCTCGCACAGTAAGACAATATCATCCGCATACTCAAGGTCGAGAAGTCTTTCTCCAGGCAACAGATCCACATCACCATTACTTACATCCATCAGAGCTGTTTCCAGAATGTCATCGATGACAAAGTTAAAGAAGAATGGTGAGATTGGGCGACCCTGTCTAACACCACTGCTCGAATGGAATAGTGGAGAAAGGTGGTTGTATGCCCTCACTCTGCCTGAGGTGTTTATGTATAGGGCTTTTAGGATGTTAATAAGCTTCTCAGACACACCCTTCTTCAATAGACAATCCCAGAGAACAGTTCTATCAAACAAATCGAAGGCAGCCCTGATATCAAGAAACACTACGATTGTTGGCCTTTGATAAGTATGGCGGTGTTCTAACACTTGGCGGAGGGTGAAGATATGATCAATACATCCTCGACCAGAACGAAAATCAGCCTGCTTCTCGCGAGTCAATCTTTCTCGGGTTCTGAACAACCTACGAAGTATGATGGAAGCCAATAGCTTGGACGCAATCGGAAGTAGACTGATCCCCCGATAGTTGTTACAGGAACGACGTGAACCCTTTTCAAAGATAGGGACAACTATCGACTCATTCCATGACGTTGGTACACTCTCTAGTTCCCAGACCTTTGCAAACAACGTCGTCAGTCCCTTAGTCAGAAAGTCACCACCATCTTTAAAAAGAGCCGGAGGTAAGTCATCTGGGCCCGGTGATTTGTAGCGCTTCAAGAGTTGGAGTTCCTTGCGGACTTCCGCCTCATTTGGTGGATCAGTCGTCACCGGCCATAGAGGGCAGGACAGTCTGACCGATGTTGCCGGAGCAGCAGGCCAGTTGAACTGCCCTTCGAAAAATTCTGCCCATCGTCCAAGACGTCGATCGATGTTAGTGATTGGCATTCCGTCATCCTCACAGATTGTTTCGCTCACACCAGACTTCTTGCTGCCAGTGGCTCGGATGAGTTGGAAGAGCTTCCGGTAATTACCAGATGCAGCTGCTGCTTCCAACTCACTGGCACGCTCCGACCACCAGGCTTCTCGGTCCTTAAGCAAGCTTTGCTCAATTTCATTACGTAACAGCATTCGTGTGTGGTCAAACGCACGGTCACCTGGAATAGACCGACGGGCTTCGATGAGTTGTAAGGAGCCTGAAGAAACCCAGTGCTTACAAGCGGGACGTTCCGCGAAGCCGCAAGCGACTTTACTCGTCATTTTGATGGCGTCATGCAGTTGCGACCAATGCTCATCTATACTTTTCGGTGGAATGTTAGCTAACCTAGAAGCTAGCTCGGTTCGATACTTACTAGCAACAGAAGTTGCAACCAACTCGCTGACATCAATCCTTCGGTGGTGGTCACTTCGTTGTCCACTGAAAAGTAAGGTAAGATTGGCGCAGACCAGGACATGATCAGAGTCCAGATAGGTACTCGAAAAGGAGTGGCAGTCTTGTACACAACCACGTCAGCGGTAGCTGATCGCAATGTGATCAATCTGAGTCCAGGCTTGAGATGCAGAGGGTGGACGCCAGTTGGCACATCGGCGATGACTGTGCCGAAAGTTAGTGCTAGCCAGAAACAGGTTGTGGTCTGTGCACAGCTGCAGTAGACGTTCCCCGTTATCTGTCCTGTGACCAACAAGTCCCAATCGGCCACCCAAACAATTCTCTTCTGTGCCTAGACGCCCGACCTGAGCATTTAATTCTCCAGCTAGTACTACAATATCTGTCGAACGCACTTACTGGAGAAGAACAGTTAGCTGGTGGTAGAACTCGTCCTTGATTGCATCCGGGCTGCAATCTGTCGGGGCATAGGCGGAGATGACGAAAAGACATCGTCTCTCACGCCGATTTCTTCTCACATTGATGGAACTTTCCAATCTAACAGCACATAACCGACTGTTAACGGGGATCCAATCGATTAGTGCTGCCTCAGCTCTAGCGCTTAGTGCGACACCAACGCCAGCAAGATCAGACGAAGATGCCACAGGGTCCCCGGATAAACGCACGTAAACAAGCTATTTGAAGCGACAGATGGAGAGCGAACTTGTAGTACTTCACCAGAGTCTTGGATACGGGTCTCGGATAGACAACACACATCAATATTAAGACTTTCCAAAGACATAGCCAGCCCTATCTGTTGTCCGACCTGCATAAGTGTGCGAACGTTGAACGCAGCCAGTTTGAATGGTGCATGTGGTTTCAGAAAAACTGCTTCAGTACTCTTATTCGGTGGCAACATACAATTTTCAACCAGGCAGTGACTCGAGAAAGTTTAGATAAAGCTGAATTTTTACCATAGGCGAGCTGCTGTCTGAGTCGAAACGGATACATAGAGTAGAAATAGGACATAGTGAATAAATGACGTAGTAAATAATAATAATAATAATAATAATAATAATAATAATATCAGTCATTTCAATGTTAGTCGGAGAGAAACGAATATTTTCCATAAGCAGATAGTTCATCATGGTTTTAGTGTGTGGGCTGAGATACTGCTCGGGTGCCCAAACCGAAGCAGGTGGTTTTCTTAGGAAGCCACACCCCGAGCCTTTGACCTAAAGGTCTAGTCCACAAGGCAGTTGAGCATCGTGAGGAGATGCAGTCCCATGGAAGCCGGTGACCAAAAGTTGGTTCATACGCCATTTGTTCCTTCAGGATACTGGAGCCCATGTGCACCATAGAATTGGGATTCGGTTATAGCGCCGGACGTTCGCTTTTCGTCCTCTCATTTTCGTAAACAACACCCCCGCCACGAGAGGGCAGTGAGTAGGACTTCCCTGGCAGAGGCTGTATACGCGTGGCCGTGTGAGAGTATTTCGAGGTAGCACTGCATTGTCCTGCTGAAATAAATTTTAACCGTTTAAAGATCCCCGTCATATTAAAAGACTAGTATTTGAACGGAGAATATTCTTTTCGATAAATTCTCTTCAGGTTCTACAATTATATATTCAACAACTGACCTTGTAAATAATTGAAAAAGATTGGTTTATACTGGCACTATGACCAGTTTGTACTATATGGGCAGATATTGAGCTTTTCACTTTCTTCATCAAACCTTTGTTAGGCCACGCTGGAAGGTGTTCACGAGCACGAAAATGTAAATTCCTAGGACTTCGACCAATATAACTCGCTCCACAGGAGCAGTCGAACTGATAGATACAAAATGGCCAACATCAAGGCCAATTAATCAATCGTAATCTTCACTATTGAATGACGTAATTTGACTATGACATTTCGTAGTCAATTGCAATGTTCTCTGTTATCTTTATTCATAAATCATTGTATTATTATTATTGATTAACTATCATTATCATTCTTCCCTATGCATGATTCATTCACTTTGCATTCTTCCCTCCTTATTACGTCGAATGGCAATTGCACTATTATTTTTCTCTCTCACCCTACTTGACCCATATTTATTCTGATCATGGATCTTAAAATCTCACTTAACATACACGCAGATTAAAGTTAACATTCTTTATGAGTCATATCAACATTAACAATTATATTGTATTTTATCACAATTCTAAATTCACATGCTTTAAACGAGGTACTTTACCCTTAACCTGGCCATTTTTCGGATTACTAATTTGGATATATAATTGTAGAACCTGAAGAGAATTTATCGAAAAGAATATTCTTCGTTCAAATACTAGTCTTTTAATATGACGGGGATGTTTAAACGGTTAAAATTTATTTCAGCAGGACAATCGAGTGCTACATACGATATCTTTAGCGATGTACACTTCAGTGTACTATTGTAGTGGACGCTTCTCATAAGATGTCTGTAGAGGAACGTAGCGTCAAAGTTGAAACAACTGTCAAACGGAGTGAAGATTTTCTGTGCATCAAAAGCATGGCGTTGGTAGAACACTTGGAAACCAGTTGAGAAGACAGTTCAGGTGACAGAACACACAGAAGGATGCAAATGGACAATTGAAAGCTATGCATGTGTATTATGTAAACACTTTGTAACTTTTCGCTATAAATATATATCATTTCTGCCTATTGTCGTGTTTTACGCTGTTTGATTAATTCGAATGAGAGAATTATCGGGGTGGTCACATTGGAGGAAGACAACGACAGTCTGAAGTGCCGACGTAAATAAAAGTGAATCTAAAATCTACAACAACCATCTACTTTTCTTATCAAACAATTCATATTAACCAACACATACAAATAAATTATAATAAGAAAGTTAAAAAGAATAACTGAAATTTTATTACACACTGGGTACATAGGTTTATAAAATTCAGTAATAAAGTGGATTTATCGAACTACAGGTATGACCTCCTCTTGTTTTACCTTATCGCTGGTATCATTGTTTGTCTTTTTTTCTATTGGAGTTTTTGGCTGAAAATTGACAGAAGATGCAAAACTACTTGTCTCAACAGATTGTGATGCAAACGTTTTCCGTTTTCGAGTTTTACGTTCTGTTCGAGCGACGACCCGTTTTAACACAGGTGATTTATACGCACAAAAGTCATAACTGTATTCAAAGTTAGATTGATCGTCACTATCAAGCATACCATGAACAATTTCACTTTCAAGTGACTGAAGAGCGAGAGAAGATAGGTATGACTGAAATTCAGTGATAGGAAATTTATGGGGTGGTGAACTATAATCATATAATTTTGAATTAATTTCCACATCCTCCCAACTTTCTTTTTTCTCGACTAATGAAGACTGAAATAAGAAAGCATGAATAAAGAGAGCAAATGCATTTAATATTGGAAATGCGTTCACAACAGTATGGGATTTACTTACAAACGTTATTACTAATATTCCATTGTCTTCAGATCAAACTTGGGCTGACATGAACAAAAAGTCACAACTGCTGATTAAATTATCAAGATTACTGAGAAGCTGACTTAAATTGGTGCGATCGTTATTGATGTTAGACGTAGAAAGATTCAACAGACCCAGAATATGAAAATAAACCTGGGAAGATTTTTGACAGGTCGCACTCCATAATATATTAGAACATAATGACAACCATTTATAAAACAATTTATCGGTTAGAAACGATAACTTGAAGAAATTTTGTATGATGGCTGTTTTTTCTTAAATGAAGCTGTCAACAGTCAGGTCTCATTATCCAAGAACTTTAAACTGAATCCAGGCAGTCATATGAACGATTGTATGAGGTCACTTTTATGTTAGAGACTAAACTGTCACTCCAAAAAATGTAATCTGTAGCTTTCAAGAAATATTCAAATAATCATTAAGGAAAGAAAATTTAACGCAACTTTGCAGTCTCTCCTGGCATACTACTGTGGAAGTATAAATTAAAGGAGGGTAGCGATCTTTAAAACACTTCCAGTGTGTTGTGGTACATCAACTGGTCATGTGATAATCAATAATCATGTGATTTATCTAAGCTTATTGTTAGAAGAATATCGATAACTAGTATGTCGAATGCAATCGCCTTTACTTTCAATGAATATTTGTCACAAACAAGCGGTAGTTGAAGCCAATATAGAAAATACTTTAGTCAGTTGATCAGTACTTAACTGCAAAACACACTGCCAAAGAAGGTTTTAGATTAGCTTAGCCTATATGCTAAAGTAAATATATCTTTACGTTTTCATTTCCAAAGGCCAACACCTTTTAACTTTACCTGTACTGCGATCAGTAATTGTGTAAAAAAAAAAAGAAAAACAAGCATCACTGAACATTGCAGATTACTGAATTTTAACAGAATCATTTATCCAGACAGTGCATTGGCAGAAATTAAGTCAAGAAGTGTTTTCTTAGCTCTAGGCTTTAATCTTATTCATGCCTATGAATATTTAGTAATTGTATAGGAGTAAGAACTGTGGTAGTTGTTAGTAAAATATAATGAACACAGAGGAATAAAGGAGGATGGCTATTAGTCTCAATCAATAAAAAAGCATTTTCATTGTTTTCGAGAGGTTAAGGCAAGTATTGATCCCAGTTGTCCACAATCTGGAGGTTGATACTTTTCCAAAATATCGAAAAATTAACTGAAGCCTACAAGATATCTGCCTGATTCCAGTTACACAGTTGTTACAAGTATGGTAGTAATTTGAGTTTCATTAATCGCTCCACAGTCCGGAACAAAAAGCCGTACGATAAGATGGAAATGCACAAGTTTGTGTTAAATGTATCTGATCTTTTGTTTCGCGAGTAGAATGATAGCATAGTTGAGTATTCTGGATGTTTGGAAGGAAGCCCTTACCACCATTTTATTTCTGTTCCAACATAGTCTGCCATTTGAATCTACATTGCAAACTAAATTATTTACATTATGACAATAGATTTTAGTCTCAACACTCTCTGATCAACCTTAATGCTACGGAAAAACTAGTGTTTCAGACGGTCCATCATAACTGAATCACCAGTAGAGAAAAATTCGACCGATGTGACTAGATAGTAGTTATAGATTAGATGAGTACAGCAGAATAAACAGCGTGTTACGAATTAAAGGTCATTAAAAACGTACTACAAAAATATATAGCATGAATGCACATTAAATGCAAACGCTTAGCAGTTATATATAATAAACATTAAGTATTTCTGCGATATATATATATATATATATATATATATATATATATATATATATATATATATATATATAATTGAAACGGGAGTTTTAATTAAGTCTTTGGAAATGCAAGGGTATGACTTACGGCTTTTGAACAATTAATAGTCGTTTTATATGAAGTCTCACGTTTTTTAATGTCCATTGGATATGAAATGCTACTAGTATTATCACCAAGTGTAGGAAACTTGATATGGATTTGTTTACAAATGTCAGAGAGATCTGATGGAATCTCATTAGATAGGCAAAACCCCAAAACTGCCAGCTCCAAAAATTTGAAACAAGATTATAAACATTATGCAACTGAAGTTATTTAACAGACAGTTGAAGATGAGTAATATTTTAAGGCTAATTTAATGTGCATTTCTGAGTTTACATAAATACCAGTAAAACAAAGATTTGAGCATATTATCTAACCCAAAATAATGTTTTACAAAAGGTAATGCGGTCAGTTGACCAAATATATATTCACCTACTCAGTTTTGAGACACGTCTTTGTTCTCGTGAGGACTAATGAAGCTACTGGATTGACTAAGCACCTAAGTAGGTGGAACGACTTTCAAAGCTACAAGACTATCCTGTTTCGCCTGATCCTGTCTGAGTGAATTAAAAAGTAATTAGCTACTACAAAGTATTTTAGAGTGGACATTATATTTGTAATGCATACACACGTTTAATGGCTTAGTAAAACAGAGTTTACTCAATTAAATAGTACCCCGACCGTAGCTGCTACCTTGACGTGGTGGTCAGGCTTGCCTATCTTGATGACCCAACCGAGTTATATTGGCTGGAACATATGTTCCTGCAGGTTCTACCATGACAGGCAGGTCGTTTGGAGAACGGTAAGACTAAAAGCAGCAACTCAAGGTCTGAGTGTGAAGTCGTACTGCTGAATGTACAGAGCTGTCACAGCAGTAAGGTGTTTCCCTCGGACAATCAGCATCTGCAGCGATGCTGCCTTCTCACAAGGAAGGAACGAGTTAGAAAAGGTTGACCCTAAAGATGTCACACCTCACCTTACCCACGGATTTCCATCTCCGGCGGTAAGGCCCTTTGAAGAACGGAGCGAACACATTAAAAACCTCCCACAAAAAGGCCGTGCGTGACCGCCCTCAAACAGTTGTCCCTTTGGCTCTGCGGTCACACTCCCAGGTCATCAAGACCAACACTAATCCGATTTCCTTTTCAGGTTCCTCAAGAAATACCCTTCAACGGTGTGGCCAGCCGGGAAGTGACATCAGCCATCATACCCGTAACAGCACACGAGACCAAGTTGGTCACATTCAAATCCTTCATACACCTCCTAGTAACTCTCTTATCTCCACGACTAACCCTTCTCACGTCACTTTATCACCTCGCACCGCTAGTTCATACGATTCGAGTACGCAGAACGTTATTCCTTATCTCTTGAAACAACGCTCTAAACTACATGTAAGAACTTTCAACGTCCGAATACTGTGCCAAATAGGACAACAGGCTTCCTTAGCTAAGACTTCAGAATCTCGCTCTATCGGTGTGCGCTGCGTCTCCGAAACGCGCACACAGGATCCGAATAGTGTCATTCATTTGACCTCACCATGTCAAAGTAACGAACCAACTGGATTTACGCTTCGTGTATATGGAAGCCCTGATGCTGCTTCCCGTGGCCTCGCTGGCGTAGGAATAGCATTGAGTCCTAGGGCGGAACTAGCTCTCTTAGACTGGATCCCAGTAGACAGTCGTTTGTGTGCTGTCCGACTAAATGGAACAGTAAGGACTCGGAAAGATAGGGAAACTTGTCGTTGCTTCTTCGTCGTTTCTGCCTGCTCTTCCACTGACTGCAGTTCAGATGATGTAAAAGATGAGTTTTACAGAAAGCTTTCCGACCTTCTCCGAAAATGTAGGCGATCTGATGTAGTAATAGTGGCTGGTTAATTTAATGCTCAAGTATTTAAACTAAACGAAAGGGAAAGACACCTGGGGGGATCTTATGGTGTCACGGCTCAAAGAACAGACACTGGCGACCGTCTGTTGCAGCTGTGCTCAGATAACCACCATGAGAGAGCATTTCGAGAGGGAGAGCGGACTCTCCCCACTCTCGGCCGTATCAGGGCATTTGGGGGTGACATAGTTCTATTTGGTGAAGACGCTGAAGAAATTCAGAGTCTGCGGACCACTCTGAGTAACAATACAGGCATGTTCGGCATGCGATTCTCCCCCTCGAAATGCAAAATGTTGCTTCAGAATTGGGATGCATCGACACCCGAACTAATGATAGGAAGTGAAGTAGTTGAACGTGTCGACCAAAGGACGGGTTTACTGTGCAGCAGTTCGTCCCGTCCTACTTCATGGCTGTGAAGCATGGTCGGTAAGAGTAGAGGATATTCGTAGGTTACTAGTATTTGATCATAGATGTCTTCGAAACATTGCTCGTATATCCTGGGACCACCGAGTAAGTTATAAGTTATTGACAAATGGACTGAGCCATGTAGGTAGGTGTAGACTACATGGTTGGGATCCGCGAGACGATAGCAATCGATGGTTAGAGACCTTGAATGACATGGCTCAAAATCGTTTGCAATGGCACAGGTGCATCCACTCTTTGTGTTCTCTCAAACTCTAATCTTCTGAATTCTTCATGTCCTTTATTTTCTTTCCAAATCTATTCCACTGGATTATACTCCTTGAATAACATCATCAAATCCTGATGTTCCCTATCACTACTTATACTTTTACTACCTCTACACTACGACATTTGAATCGATAACTGAATCTCTGTGCTAATGTGGTATGGCAACTCGAACTGATGTACGTACGTGCGAAGTACCACGTTGTTACTGACTGAATTAAATAGTACAATATCATTGTTAATATAGGCGGAAGTCCGCAAGGAACTCCAACTCTTGAAGCGCTACAAATCACCGGGCCCAGATGACTTACCTCCGGCTCTTTTTAAAGATGGTGGTGACTTTCTGACTAAGGGACTGACGACGTTGTTTGCAAAGGTCTGGGAACTAGAGAGTGTACCAACGTCATGGAATGAGTCGATAGTTGTCCCTATCTTTGAAAAGGGTTCACGTCGTTCCTGTAACAACTATCGGGGGATCAGTCTACTTCCGATTGCGTCCAAACTATCGGCTTCCATCATACTTCGTAGGCTGTTCAAAACCCGAGAAAGATTGACTGGCGAGGAGCAGGCTGATTTTTGTTCTGGTCGAGGATGTATTGATCATATCTTCACCCTCCGCCAAGTGTTAGAACACCGCCATACTTATCAAAGGCCAACAATCGTAGTGTTTCTTGATATCAGGGCTGCCTTCGATTTGTTTGATAGAACTGTTCTCTGGGATTGTCTATTGAAGAAGGGTGTGTCTGAGAAGCTTATTAACATCCTAAAAGCCCTATACATAAACACCTCAGGCAGAGTGAGGGCATACAACCACCTTTCTCCACTATTCCATTCGAGCAGTGGTGTTAGACAGGGTCGCCCAATCTCACCATTCTTCTTTAACTTTGTCATCGATGACATTCTGGAAACAGCTCTGATGGATGTAAGTAATGGTGATGTGGATCTGTTGCCTGGAGAAAGACTTCTCGACCTTGGGTATGCGGATGATATTGTCTTACTGTGCGAGAATGTTCAAGCCATGCAATCCGCACTTAATCAGTTGGCAATCAATGTCCGTAGGTATGGTATGTGCTTTGCACCTTCGAAGTGCAAAGTTCTTCTACAAGACTGGCAGGATTCTAATCCTGTACTCACTCTGGATGGTGAGCAGATAGAAGTAGTCGAGAAGTTCGTGTATCTGGGTAGCTGCATAAGTGCTGGTGGTGGCGTGAGTGATGAGATCAATGCACGTATAATGAAAGCCAAAGCGACTCATGCCAATCTGGGCCATCTTTGGCGCCTTCGTGATGGTAGTCTAGCTGTAAAAGGTCGGATCTACAACGCGTTGGTGAGAGCAGTCCTGCTCTATGCTTGTGAAACCTGGCCTCTCCGAGTTGAAGATGTTAGAAGACTCACCATGTCAGTAATGCAGAGGTTCGGCATCGTGTGTTCGGGCACAGAGACGACAATCCAATTGGTGTCACCATCTTGAAACACCGGCTTCGGTGGCTTGGACATGTTCTACGAATGTCGTCCCAGTGAATTCCACAACGTGCATTATTTGCCGACTCTGGGACTGGTTGGAAAAAGCGGAGAGGTGGTCAGTATATGACATGGTGTCGTGGTATGAAAGAAAGCTGCAAAGGGCTAGCTTCTGTTGGTCCTTCACGATTACCTGGTTGGGGTCCGAGAGATGGTGCGACATAGTGGCATTCAACGGTGTGGTCGAGTAGGTTAAGTGTTCGCGCTCGAGACTAAAGGCCCTGAGTCCGAATCCCGCGAGCGGTATCGTGGATGCGCACTGTCGAGGAGCCTCACAATAGGACGAAACAGCCGTCCAGTGCTTCCAGGTTTTCAATAGTGGTCTAACATCAATCGGTTGTTGGTCTCAATCAAAAGCTTAACAATCTCCACAACACCTAAATTGATTATTATTATTATTATTATTATACTACCTTACACTAATCTGGTCGTTATGGTTTTTTTTTTCCTTTACGCTCCTTACCTCATTTTTTTCTCTTCTCCATTCTCATTGTTTTGTGTGGTGCATATATATTTGATACCCTCTTGTACCAATATTTATGTGTGCGAATAAATAAATAATAATAGATTGAATAAAATGGCTTCGAATTGTCGACAATAGTACACATCCATTTATTCTTTATCTTTCCTAAGATTTTGAGTCCTAGTATCACTCCATACATATCTTTACGTTCCTTCTCGATCCATATTTTCAACCTTTAGTCTTTGTCAATAACATTGATACTACTATTATTTCGACTCCTTTGGTATTCATCTTATTACTTTCACTTCGTCATGCAAATGTGGCTTGTCAATTTAGGCCGACGCACATTTGTCGCAGGATCTTTGTTTTAGCCGAATGATAACAAAAATAATCGAGGTGAAAATACACGTCAGTATTTTTGAAGCTCAAAGTAGATCATTACAGCTTAACACTGTGTAAAACAATGTGCTACTAAACCTATGGTCAGGACAAATAAGAAGTCTAATACTCGTATTAAGAAACTGATGTTCGAAAACTTAGACTAATCAAAGTATTTTTATGAAGAAATCTAATAAGAATTGTAAACGGTTTTTTTTAAACATTACTGTTAAATAGGCAGTAATAGACCATTTTCGAAACTTTAAGGGGAAAAATAAATATATTACATGTAACGAAAATGAAATGGTACGATTGAAAAAAGGAATTACCTTTTTTACAGGTTTAAACTTAGTTGTAACTAACTCAGGTAGTGATCCTGTCGGTTTGATTGCCAATAATCTAATATCTAACAGAGTACACAAGTTAGCCAAATGGTGACCATAATGTGATGTCAGCCAACCGGAATCAACGAAAACGCATGATATCCTCTTTCCTTGAGTTTCCTGGCTATTTTCACTTTTATTACATACAGAACTCTCTAAACATCGAATAATCTCATTTGAACCCAGAAATATATGAGACCTAATGATTGAAGCAATAAAATTTTGTTGGAGTAATACTATTTTCGGTGTAAGGGACAGTGCTAAAAACTATGAAATATAAAACGGAGATTCAAAAGCTTACACAGCAATGAAATGTAGTAGGTATCATTGTTGTAAAACCTTGGAAATATAAATATAAATCCTCAAATCAATTAAAATGAAAGTCATATCGAAGTAAAATTATGGTGAAGAAGCACACGATACTAACCGTAAAATTAAGTTCAGTCCATATTATTTACAACGAATTAAAAGCAAATATTGTGGCACTAAACATTATTAGCAAATTCAGTACTCAAGCACATTTACCAACACTATGTTGTAAATCATAACAGTGTAGAAATCAGAGATGACACGCGGGTATCGAGACTCAAGTTTATGAAAATAGGTTCGAATTTCAGGGACTGAAAGTTAAGCCTTCAATTCATTGAGATAATACGTCACGATTTCACGTTAAGAAAAACCTTCATAAACCACGTTGCAGTGAAGACTCCAAATATTTAGAAATGTGAGTGGTGGTTACGATTGTCAAGTACGCAAATATCCGTCGTCTGATATACCTCACTATTATTAAAATATCGTACTCACCTACGATGTAATATGCACATCAGTGTGTCATGTAGACTTCAACGAGTACCAGTAAAAAGATAACAATTAGAAAACAATTTGCTGGATTTAAAATTAGTTACATACACTCGCTTACTGTGCAGCAAAAATGATCTTAAAACCATTCATAATTATCAGAATGATATACACTACAAAAAATCAAGGAAACCTATCCCAGTACTGAGAAATCAACAGTGGTCCAAAGAAGAACACTTTGACGACGTCGTAGAATCGCATTCATAATTTATAGGCATACATAAGCATATAACTAAATGAATAGATACTGGGTCAGTTAGAAATCTTTTAGTTTTTTCCTTAATATCCATTCGGTCAGTCATCTACAACGTAGGGCCAGGCACATACACGCGTTGGTCCAAGTTATTATTATTTATTTATTTATTTGAACACATAAATATTGGTACAGGGGGCACCAAATATATATGCGCCACACAAAACAATGAGAATTTAAGAATGGAAAAAAGTAAGGAACATAGGGGATTATAAAATAAAAAAAGAACAATAACGGGGGGAGACGAAAAGCTACACTCAGAAGAAATCTTACATTTAAGGAGGATACAGCCACTTCTTATGAAGAAAGTAAAAGGTTACAGCAGGATCGCCACTGGCTTCTATTCTGAGCCATATCTGATAACGTCTCTAGCCACTGCGTTACACAGTCTCTCGGACCCCAACCAGGTAGTCGTGAAGGACCAACAGAAGCTAGCCCTTTGCAGCTTTCTTTCATACCACGACACCATGTCATATACTGACCACCTCTCCGCTTTTTCCAACCAGTCCCAGAGTCGGCAAATAATGCACGTTGTGGAATTCACTGGGACGACATTCGTAGAACATGTCCAAGCCACCGAAGCCGGTGTTTCAAGATGGTGACACCAATTGGATTGTCGTCTCTGTGCCCGAACACACGATGCCGAACCTCTGCATTACTGACATGGTGAGTCTTCTAACATCTTCAACTCGGAGAGGCCAGGTTTCACAAGCATAGAGCAGGACTGCTCACCGGGCCCAGATGACTTACCTCCGGCTCTTTTTAAAGATGGTGGTGACTTTCTGACTAAGGGACTGACGACGTTGTTTGCAAAGGTCTGGGAACTAGAGAGTGTACCAACGTCATGGAATGAGTCGATAGTTGTCCCTATCTTTGAAAAGGGTTCACGTCGTTCCTGTAACAACTATCGGGGGATCAGTCTACTTCCGATTGCGTCCAAACTATCGGCTTCCATCATACTTCGTAGGCTGTTCAAAACCCGAGAAAGATTGACTGGCGAGGAGCAGGCTGATTTTCGTTCTGGTCGAGGATGTATTGATCATATCTTCACCCTCCGCCAAGTGTTAGAACACCGCCATACTTATCAAAGGCCAACAATCGTAGTGTTTCTTGATATCAGGGCTGCCTTCGATTTGTTTGATAGAACTGTTCTCTGGGATTGTCTATTGAAGAAGGGTGTGTCTGAGAAGCTTATTAACATCCTAAAAGCCCTATACATAAACACCTCAGGCAGAGTGAGGGCATACAACCACCTTTCTCCACTATTCCATTCGAGCAGTGGTGTTAGACAGGGTCGCCCAATCTCACCATTCTTCTTTAACTTTGTCATCGATGACATTCTGGAAACAGCTCTGATGGATGTAAGTAATGGTGATGTGGATCTGTTGCCTGGAGAAAGACTTCTCGACCTTGGGTATGCGGATGATATTGTCTTACTGTGCGAGAATGTTCAAGCCATGCAATCCGCACTTAATCAGTTGGCAATCAATGTCCGTAGGTATGGTATGTGCTTTGCACCTTCGAAGTGCAAAGTTCTTCTACAAGACTGGCAGGATTCTAATCCTGTACTCACTCTGGATGGTGAGCAGATAGAAGTAGTCGAGAAGTTCGTGTATCTGGGTAGCTGCATAAGTGCTGGTGGTGGCGTGAGTGATGAGATCAATGCACGTATAATGAAAGCCAAAGCGACTCATGCCAATCTGGGCCATCTTTGGCGCCTTCGTGATGGTAGTCTAGCTGTAAAAGGTCGGATCTACAACGCGTTGGTGAGAGCAGTCCTGCTCTATGCTTGTGAAACCTGGCCTCTCCGAGTTGAAGATGTTAGAAGACTCACCATGTCAGTAATGCAGAGGTTCGGCATCGTGTGTTCGGGCACAGAGACGACAATCCAATTGGTGTCACCATCTTGAAACACCGGCTTCGGTGGCTTGGACATGTTCTACGAATGTCGTCCCAGTGAATTCCACAACGTGCATTATTTGCCGACTCTGGGACTGGTTGGAAAAAGCGGAGAGGTGGTCAGTATATGACATGGTGTCGTGGTATGAAAGAAAGCTGCAAAGGGCTAGCTTCTGTTGGTCCTTCACGACTACCTGGTTGGGGTCCGAGAGACTGTGTAACGCAGTGGCTAGAGACGTTATCAGATATGGCTCAGAATAGAAGCCAGTGGCGATCCTGCTGTAACCTTTTACTTTCTTCATAAGAAGTGGCTGTATCCTCCTTAAATGTAAGATTTCTTCTGAGTGTAGCTTTTCGTCTCCCCCCGTTATTGTTCTTTTTTTATTTTATAATCCCCTATGTTCCTTACTTTTTTCCATTCTTAAATTCTCATTGTTTTGTGTGGCGCATATATATTTGGTGCCCCCTGTACCAATATTTATGTGTTCAAATAAATAAATAAATAATAATAACTTGGACCAACGCGTGTATGTGCCTGGCCCTACGTTGTAGATGACTGACCGAATGGATATTAAGGAAAAAACTAAAAGATTTCTAACTGACCCAGTATCTATTCATTTAGTTATATGCTTATGTATGCCTATAAATTATGAATGCGATTCTACGACGTCGTCAAAGTGTTCTTCTTTGGACCACTGTTGATTTCTCAGTACTGGGATAGGTTTCCTTGATTTTTTGTAGTGTATATCATTCTGATAATTATGAATGGTTTTAAGATCATTTTTGCTGTACAGTAAGCGAGTGTATGTAACTAATTTTAAATCCAGCAAATTGTTGTCTAATTGATGAGATCAATGCACGTATAATGAAAGCCGAAGCGACTCATGCCAATCTGGGCCATCCTTGGCGCCTTCGTGATGTTAGTCTAGCTGTAAAAGGTCGGATCTACAACGCATCGGTGAGAGGCACCAAATACATATGCGCCACACAAATCTCATTTGATTTGTGTGAGGGCTGTGATACTGCCTGTGTGCCCAAACCGAAGCAGGTGGTTTTCTTAGGGGGCCACACCACGAGCCTTCGACCTTAAGGTCCAACACACAAGGCAGTACAGCATCGTGAGGAGAGGCAGTCCCATGGTAGCCGGTGACCAAAAATTGGTTCATACGCTATTTGTTCCCGCAGGATACTGTACCCAGCCCATGTGCACCATTGGTTTGTGAACCGGTTAAAGCGCCGGACATTCGCTTTTCGTCCTCTAATTTCGTAAACAATACCCCCGCACGAGAAGGCAGTGAGTAGGACTTCCCTGGCAGGGGCTGTATACGCGTGGTCATGTGAGAGCATTTCGAGAGGGAGAGCGGACTCTCCCCACTCTCGGCCGTATCAGGGCATTTGGGGGTGACATAGTTCTATTTGGTGAAGACGCTGAAGAAATTCAGAGTCTGCGGACCACTCTGAGTAACAATACAGGCATGTTCGGCATGCGATTCTCCCCCTCGAAATGCAAAATGTTGCTTCAGAATTGGGATGCATCGACACCCGAACTAATGATAGGAAGTGAAGTAGTTGAACGTGTCGACCAAAGGACGGGTTTACTGTGCAGCAGTTCGTCCCGTCCTACTTCATGGCTGTGAAGCATGGTCGGTAAGAGTAGAGGATATTCGTAGGTTACTAGTATTTGATCATAGATGTCTTCGAAACATTGCTCGTATATCCTGGGACCACCGAGTAAGTAACTCAGTTGTTAGGAAACGAGTACTAGGTAAGAATGGCAAATCAATTGATGAAGTAGTAAAACTTCATCAGTTGAGATGGCTGGGACATGTGTTGCGCATGCCCGACCACCGACTGTCCCGACGTGCTATGTTTTCTGGTGTAGGAATAGGTTGGAAGAAAGCTAGGGGCGGCCAGACCAAAACTTGGCACAAATCCATGAAGTCACTGACAAGTGGACTGAGTCATGTTGGTAGGTGTAGACTACCAGGTTGTGGACCGCGAGATGATAGCAACCGATGGTTAGAGACCTTGAATGACATGGCTCAAAATCGTTTGCAATGGCACAGGTGCATCCACTCTTTGTGTTCTCTCAAACTCTAATCTTCTGAATTCTTCATGTCCTTTATTTTCTTTCCAAATCTATTCCACTGGATTATACTCCTTGAATAACATCATCACATCCTGATGTTCCCTATCACTACTTATACTTTTACTACCTCTACCACTACGAGATTTGAATCGATAACTGAATCTCTGTGCTAATGTGGTATGGCAACTCGAACTGATGTACGTACGTGCGAAGTTCTACATTGTTGCTGACTGACTGCCCTACTCTCTTGTGGATTAGACCTTTGAGTCAAAGGCTCGGGGAGTAGCCCCCTAAGAAAACCACATGCCTCGGTTTGGGCAACCGAGAATTATCCCAATCCTCACGTAAATCGAATGATTTGTGTGGCGCATATCTACTTGGTATTTCATTGTACCAATGTTTCTGTTTAAATAATAAAACAACTACATGAAGAAATCAATAGAAATGAGGAAATGTGCTAAAATAAACAAGAGTATAGAATAAATCGTATAATAAAACGACAAACATTCAGGAGTGGATAAACAGTGGAGGAGTTCTAACCAGTAGTATCACTTTTTGGCTAATTCACCAAAAGAAGACTTCTCACATTTTGAAGACCCCATTCACATAGACTATACCCTTCTTATATTCATTTACTTCACGTGCTTCCGTCTTGTTCTTAAGTAGCTCTTCAAATCTTATTTCAATTTAGCTAGCACCAAACATACCGAGACAGGTGTTTTAAAATGAACAACATTTAAAGTCCTCGCCTAAGCTAGTACAAGTTTACAGTCACACAAACTGATTTACTTTTCACACCCACATATATAGATCTTACCTTGTAATTCGGTTTATGATGTTATCGCTTACGGTTGAAGTCCTAGTCATAACCAAATACAGAACAAGTATTATAGGACAACAATAAACGTTTTTGAATCAAAAATCACAACAATAAAAAGTACAATTACCAGAAAACACGGCAATCCGCAACTTTTAACCATTCGTGTTTCAGATCTTTCTTTAATAGACGACGAGATCTTCCAATTTTCAAAGATTTGGCTTTAGATTCACTTTCTAACTGGATGCCGCCAGGGTCGGGACCACTCTGGAGCGCTTTCAGTTTTTTGACATCTATATCTATATCATTGTTTTGAAATAAACTAACATATTAACATAAGTAGGATGGAAAAAATATAAATTGATTACCATTTGATTTCACTGCATAGTGAGTTAGATTTATCAATAATTGAAATCCTTTACATAAGTAGACTGTAAACCTTATAGTTGTAAATTTACCTATCCAAAAGTGCTAATGAACCGGGAACACACAAATATTTGGGGGGAGGAACTTGCTTTTTCTTCTTCGAAGTATGGTCCGTTTTTCGTACATAGTTATTGGATTGTGCGTAACTGGAAGCTAGTTCAGTCATAGACAATAACCCTGAAAAACGTTTGTTAGGTAAAAGAAATCATTGACAGTCAAATGGTACAGGTTTGTGTATTAAGTCACACTAATAGAACTAGCTTTTCATTAAAACATCAATAAGCAGACAGCCAAACAACCGTAATATGAACTCACATATGTTAATGAAAAGTGACGAGACAATTTGGTGATTTGTGCACATGTGAGTACTACCATTCTTTTATAATTGAATGTATTCCGTCTAAACAAGCAAACCGTATACACAAATTGCCACAACATAGAATTAAGTCTCAAACAAATAAACTGCTGAATGATATCGCATAATAGAAACTTAGAATACAAAGAAAAATATAGTAAATAGTAATTTTAGAACCAAATACTTAAATATTTAAGTTGAACAAAGAACTAGTGAAAAGTGCTGTTTCTCATGTTCACTCGTCAAAAGAATAAAACAAAAATATCAACAATATAGAGTGTAAAAGTCAGTTTTATATCACTAACAAAAAACCAAGAAAATGAAACATAGTCACAGAAAGAAGTGAATGCATTGCCAAATAAATTTCGACCATCAAAGTTTCTTGTCTCACAGACTGAATATCTATAATCTATAGGTTAAGAACTAGTCGTAAACATTTCTACATATATTTACCAAATTATGACTTCAACCCCCACATCGAATTTCCAACTAACCATATTTTCTAAAATTAAAAGAGGTTTAAGTAATGATTGTTCTGTTCGTATATACGATTTCCAGTGCACACAAATAAGCCGATAATTAAGAGAATGAATGGGTTTGCATAATGGATTAACTAGTTAAGAGATCAAAAAGTATGTATATCGAGAATTGACAACAACAGAAAACGTATTTTGGTGAGAAAAAAATTAGAAACTTAGAACGATATTGGATGTTTGCAAATTACGTCCCATTTCTAACGTTATTGTAGAGTATAAGGAAGATAGTGCTTTGCACAAGCAACTACTACTTCTGGTGGAACCTTTTCACCAGGCCTAACGACACTTTAGGGGATCTCATTCTCGAAAATCATGTATCTAGACTTTTATACAGCAAACAATGGAAATTTCATTGAGACTATGAACCCATCTAAGTCAGGACATTGAAAATCTGAAAGCACTGGACAGCCGATTCATCATCGTATAGGACTTTTCGGAAGTCCGTGCTTACGATCCTACACGCGGGGCTTCAACTCAGAACTTTCAGTTTTGAACGCGAACGTCTAATCTCCAGACCAAATAGCCGGCATTCAACAGTGGTTCAACTTAGATCGGTTCGTGATTTGAATGAAGTTCAACAACCTCCACAACCCCATACAGAAAACGGAAATTTCGTCTTTGAACACAAAAAATATTTACAAAATACAGTCCTTGATCTGAAGCATAGTAAAGCGCATATAATTTAGCAGAATTGATAGAAAGTTTATTAGTTGCAATAACACTCTACAGTACTGAGTGATAATTCCACACAAACTTAAAATCGTAGACTCCCAACCATGAATAACTGTATTTCATGGGAGTTTATTTGCTTTTTTTGTCAACAGCCAGATTTAACTTTACAAGTACATACTACGTATCTCTAATACTATGGAAAGTTCGAACTAACTCATATGTGTGTGATTTAGACTTTCATACTCTACTAATCACTACTTAGATTATAATTACTGTAAAAATTGCTTTGATGTTATGTTTGCAACGAAGTTTAATTTGAAACATTTTTTGAAAATTTCCTTCCAGACATACTAAAGTTTTGGAAACTTGGACTAATACTCAGTAACAAGCTTTTACGTTAACTGGCTAGTATAGAATAAGCACACATCTTTCACATCCCGTTACCGATTAGTATTACGAAATCGCTGGCTTTATATCCCAATAGTCAAAAAATCTAAATGGTTAATACTGAACAACTTCAAAGACTTAAACCACACAAAGGGCCTACTCCATTATATGTTTCTCTTTGGATACTTAATGTAGTGATGATGCTTACTGGGACTTAAACCGAATCCCGATAGGATATCATCGTAATCTCAACACTTTCACTACCGAATAAACAGGTTACAAGTGAGTTTTATGGGGGACATTTAGTGAACACAAAATATTGTATTACAGCTGCAGACAAAAAGTTGAGAGTTCTGACCAATTTTTAAGGGTCAGACAAAACTGTTTGTGTACTGTAACTCATCTATGTAAACCTTAAATATATTATCGAATATGTCAAAAACCAAACACGCTAATTTAAAGTCATGGAGTGTATATTCATCTGACTTGGAGCTTATCCAACGTCAAACCAAGATATTAAGTACCAAGCGCGTAATGGTGAATTTCAGTGAAAGCATTAATAGATACTGTAAGTTATGACTTGAACTAGGATTCAGAGTTAGATAGGAGAGTTTAGGACTAAAATTCGGCGTTAAGAAGTAATATTTATGATATGAAGAGAGCCTACGGTTACGATTTAAGTTAGGTTGAGTTTAGTGTTAAAATATAGGTCAATTGCAAAACCAACTGAGACTTTAAACACTAGTTGTGTTTAGGATTAGAGTTTATGGGTCATGATAAACATAAACCCTAAATTTAACGGCCAATAACTTATAACCAACTTAGAAATATTTATAAATCATGTGAAGACAGTAAATTCCATGTAAGTTTTTCGAATTGTAATAATAATTTATTCACATTCTCTCCAAACTCCTTGGTTAAAACAGGTGAAAATCTCAGGGCTACAGGATAGCATGTTCTAGGTTTACCGTATGGTATATAAACAATTATTCGGTAACGAGGTCAGCACGCATAAAACTGCCTACAAACACGTAACTTGACCGTTCCATTTCCTTAATGTAGTGACCAACATACAGTAAACATTCCAGTTTTTGTACTATAGTTATTGGTATAGTATCATGAGCTGACTGTCAGATTTCATTATCTTATGGTATTCGATAGGACTGATCACCTGTGGTATATCACACAAAATCCAAGTAAGAACCTCGCAATTTCTGCGTAGTGATCAACGATTGGGACTCGTCAGAACTAGTGGCGTCATGTCCGTCAGGGGGGAAACTTAAAAAATTATTTATTTATTTGAACACAAATATTGGTACAAGAGGGCACCCAATATATATGCGCCACACAACTTTAAAAAAATAGTAACCAGCATCCACAAAATGCACGCGTTCACTCGTTGTACTTAAATCACTACGACGGAAACTGTACAGGGGTTTATTAACATTAGCTTGATAAAAGTACTGGTCTAAAGCTGACAGTAGGCCCGTGGAGATGTTGACCGGATATACTGGAATTAGTAGGCATTGATTAGAAACACTAAATTCGTGTTAAAAAACATGATCTACGATAAAATAGCTAGTTTCAATTGGTAATGCGGGAACAAATAATAACGATAATTCAAAGTATTCTTTGTGTAAAGTCCACCCTAAGTATGTATGCGTTCACCTTGAAGGTACCTTGAGTGCTGGAGGAGTGTGAGGAGCAGTATGTGAGAGCATGTGTAAAAAATATGAACACCTGCGTCGGTCAAAAAATCCACAGCAGTCACTGAAAGGCGAAGAAGACCTGAAACAACAACACACAATGTTAACCGAGAACTTCACACTAAGAGAGAACACGGAATGGAAGCCATGAGTTTTTTATTCGAAAATTAAAACCCGCAGACCATGTACAGAAAGAATGGTTAGTTTACAAAATAGTCTTATGAGTCATCTTGCAAGTTGAAATAGCCATGTATGATGTTAACGGATTCTGTTTTCTTTCTATTGAAGGGCGATCAAGGGTAAACGCTTCGGAAGAAGAGCGAGCCCTGTGTGCACCGAACTTAGGGATCGCTTCAGGATTATCGTCCACTAACGGAGGTTGCGAGCATTTGAAAGTCAAACTGCCGTTAGATGATAGGTGCGTCACGTCGACAATTCGTGAAGTTTTGCAGAAGAGGTCAAATCAAAACACTTTTGGATTTGAATTCAGTTCAGCCACACTATGTCTGGTAACGTCCATCATTCAAGTAACGAAGACGATGCCGTCGTGATGATGCATGATGTGGAACGAATCTTCAATGTTATCGCGACGATCTACAAGTTGGAACAATTTCGAAATGTTTTTGGAAGAAGTACATAAGATAATATGACTTATGTGGTTGATAATTATTAAGTATTAAGTACGTTATGTAGAAAGAACAACGATGACCCAACTCTAATGTAATTACTCGTGTGATATGTCTGTTGTAACTCGTGTATTCAGCAGTCACTGGAGCGAGCTGAAAGATCTAAACCACAAACACACAAGGTTAGCTGAGCACTTCACAACACAGGGAGAACACGGAATGGAACCACCAGTGATTTATTTCAAAAATTAAAATTCGCGGGAATGTACAGAAGGAAAAACAGAATCTATTAACACAATAAACATAATGATTTTGACGCTGTTACATCGCCCCCTCCCTTAATGAGGCGCTGTCCTCAGCGCCTGGTCTTGGGCATGGATATGCTGACCCTCCTTCTGATGGTACTTCATAAAATCTAGTGGCCGGCGGACTGAGCATCGAAGGAAACTGTCATTCGATCCGGTTTAATTTGGTTGTAGTGTACCGTTATTACGTCGTCTTTAGGTCGTTGTATGTTACGCAATACAAACGTAGTGGGAGATCGGATGAGGATAATTTCAAAAGGACCTTGCCAGGGCTGGTGGAATTTACCGCAACTCCCTGACGATGTCGTGGGGCGGCGTAACCAGACGCGATCTCCGACCGTATACATCGGTCCTTTCACCTGACGATCGTACATGTCTTTTTGGTGTTCGCTAGCCTTACGCGAGTTGATATTGACCAGGCGGTATGCATCAGCTAAGCGGTTGCGGAGAGTACGTATGTACGGTACATGCTCTTGTTCCTCGTAAGGTAGTAGGGGCGATTGTATCTCTACTGGTAAGCGTAATTCGTGCCCGAACAGTAACATAGCAGGTGAGAATCCCGTGGAACCGTGTACCGATGTACGATACGCTAAAAGGCATTGAGGGAGAACATTATCCCATAATTCAGATGACGATCTGCTGACAAACAACTGTAAGATAGCTTTAATAGTCCTGTTCGTTCTTTCCACGAGACCGTTACCCTCTGGGTAATACGCAGTAGTGTGTGTCTTCCTGATTCCCAATAGCCGGCATATCTCAGCGATGAGTTGACTTTCAAAGGCTGGACCTTGATCGGAATGGAGTGAGACTGGTGCACCATAACGCGAGACCCAATGATCGATAAAAGCTCGGGCGACAGTAAGGGTATCTTGCTGTGGAGTGAGTACTGCTTCACACCATTTAGTGAAATAATCCACCATAACCAGTATGTAGCGATTCCCGTTCTTTGTCGTTGTCAATGGTCCCATGATATCTATGCCGACCCTCTGATGTGGTCCTGTTGTCACCATCGGTGTCATTGGTGCACGGGGTCTCTTCTGAGGTGATTTAAAACGGCAACACGTGTTACAATTCTTGCAAAATCGCGCTACGTCTTCATGTATAGATGGCCACCAAAAGCGTTGACGGACAGCGTGTTCCGTCCTTCGTTCTCCCGCATGACCAAGTTCGCGATGTACCTGCTCCACAATGCTCTCGACTTTGACTCGCGGTACTATCAGTAGGGGTTGTTTCGATTCATTAATTAGGAATAACGTGTCCCCATATAGTTTTAGGTTACTCCATTTGGTGCAAATACGACGCGTTGTTGGGGGTTGATCTTTTAACTCCTTCCAGGATGGCTTATTGTTCCCGTGTAACTGTCTCTGGTAAATAATCTGCAGGTCCGGATCTGTTGCTTGTAAGGAGGGCCAATCAGTCTCTAGCGCCGTACTCAGAATTGTGTTAACATTATTTGTGATCTGGGGTATTCGGGAAAGGGCATCCGCGTTTGTATGTCGGTTTCCCGGTCGATACTCGCATGTGAAGTTAAACTCTTGTAGCCATTCTTGCCAGCGTGCTGCTTGCCCTTCTGGTTCGCGGAAAGAGCGGAGCCACTGTAATGCACGGTGATCCGTGCGCACACGAAAGGGTTTGCCCAGTAGGTAATGGCGAAAGTGTTGTAAGAATTTTACTAGTGCTAACATCTCTCGACGTGTTGTAGAATACCGTGCTTCACTCTTATCTAATCGTCGACTAGCATACGCGATGACTCTTTCGTGTCCATCTCGATCTACTTGCGATAGAACTGCTCCAATGGCCGAGGAACTAGCGTCCGTATCGAGTATAAATTCACCTCCGTCTGCTGAAGTATCCGGAAAGGCTAATATAGGTGGGGAGGTTAATCGTGCTTTCAAAGCATCGAGCGCTTGTTGACACTCGCTAGTCCATAAGAATTTTCGTCCCTTATGTGTTAAGCGATGCAAAGGTGTTGCTAATGATGCAAAGTCGCGAACAAAGCGTCTATAATAAGAAGCTAGCCCAAGGAAGCTACGAACGTCTTCGGGTGATTGTGGTTGCGGCCAATTAACAATCACATGTGTCTTTTCTTTATCTGTGCCTACCCCATCTGTAGTGATACGGTGTCCCAGGAAGATTACTTCTCTCTGTAGCAGGCGACATTTGGACGGTTTTACTTTTAAATTGTGTTGTTGAAGGCGCTGAAGGACTGCTTTCAAATTGGTATTGTGTTGTTCGGGCGTGCTACCATACACAATAATGTCATCAAGATATATCAGGCATTTGTTAGGTACTATGTCTTGTAACACTGCTTGCATTAGTCTTTGGAAGGTAGCCGGGGCATTCGTTAAACCAAAGGGCATCACTTGGAATTCATATAGACCATTTGGTACTATAAATGCCGTTTTTTTTTCTATCTTGCGGTCGGACTTCTACTTGCCAATACCTTGATGCTAGGTCCAAAGTAGAAAACCAACATGCGCCTTTCAAGGCATCTAGCGTGGTATCGATCCGTGGGAGTGGAAAAGTCACGTTTAGTGAGAGCATTAAGGCGTCGATAGTCTACGCAGAGTCGTAGAGAGGAATCTTTCTTTTTCACTAAGACAATAGGGGATGCCCATGGAGATGACGAAGGAACTATGATCTTTTTATCTAGCATATCTTTTATCATTGCGTCCAGTTGCGGTTGGTAGTGCACTGGTACCTTACGAGGTGGCTGTCGAAGTGGCATATGGTCGCCTGTGAAGATGGAGTGTTGCACTGTAGTGGTCCGATTTCCGGAAATGCCTTCCTCAAACACAGAACTAAACTGCTGGAGCACGGCAATCGTTGTGCGACGACCATTCTCTGTGATTACTTGATTGTTATGTATCTGACGTACGAGTTCTGAAATCCCCACAAGGGCTATAGATTTTGTCGTCCTCTCATGGTGGTGCAGGTGCACTATAGCCTCGCCGATTTTTGCTTCTGATCTATCCAGAAATATAGAGGCTTGATGTTTCAACATGAAGTCAACGCCTAAAATCATGTCCCAAGTTAATGTTGGACAAACTAAGAGCTTATGCTGAAGCTGATGTTTTTCTATCGTAAGGTCTAACCACACCTTAGAACATACTTTCAACGGATCCCCACTTGCTGTAAGTAACGTAGAAAAACATCGATTTTGTCGAGGTTTGTAATTAAGTTTCTTCAAGACTTCCTACTTAATGAGGGATACTGACGCTCCCGTGTCTAACAGTATTTCTAACTCAGTGTTCTGTACTCTACCCTTAAACGTAATTGGGTTGACATGATTAACATAGGAAGATAAATAGCAAAAACGCCGCTTACCTCTATTTTCCATGCGATCGTGTCCACATTTCCTGGCATTTTCCCCGAAACGTTTACAGTAAAAACATTCCGTTTGCTGATTCCGATAAGTCTTCCCTGGCGACCGTCCATTCTGTCTTGAGCTTAACTGTCCGCGGCTGACACCCCGGTTAAATGAGTCGTTAACAGCACTTGTCGTCTGGAATTTGTCTAGCCCACTAGAATTTGCGGCTTGTTCCACATTCATCACTGATGCTGGTCGTGCATCTGATAAATTCGCTAGTTTGTCAGCGGCCAGAAACCGTAATGTTGTTCTTTTCAAGTCAGATGTATCTTTTGGTGGACTTCGAAGGAAATGTTCTCTTAGAGTTCCAGGCAATAATCGTTGGACAAAACGTGAACGAATTGATTCTTCTCTTCCAATTACATCTAGACGAGGAAATGCCTGTGCGGCGATTTGCTGCAGGCTATAAAGGTAGTCGATTGGATTTTTGCTTGCTCTCTGGTGACGTGATAGGAACTGGATTGTTGCCTGTTGGGTGTCCACGGGCACAGAAAAACAATCGTCTAGGATTCGCCAATTTTGTGAAAGTGTATTACTTGTTGCGAACCCATTGGCCGTAGCCCTTCGTATTGCTTCATCGCTCAAATAAGAGACGAGATAGTTGAAATGTTCGGTCAGTGGAACTCTCTGTAGATACGCTGTAACTTTAAATTTCCAAACAGGGTAATCTGACGAACTTTCAAGTAGAGGAAGTTGGCGAGGGGTCGAAGAGAGCGCAGCCTTGATTGGAATCACAGGGGGTTCGTCTAATTTCTCTTCGCATTTTTCTGTGGCCACCTCCATCACCAATTGTAACTCGTGTATTCACCAGTCACTGGAGCGAGCGGGATGATCTAAAACCACAAACACACAATGTTAACTGAGCACTTCACAACACAGGGAGAACACGGAATGGAACCACCAGTGATTTATTTCAAAATCAAATTTCGCGGGAATGTACAGAAAAAGGGGGTTAATTTACCAAACAGTCTTATGCATCATTCTGCAGGTTCAGTGCACGTAGGGCTTGTTCTTCCTCTTCTACAGCATTCACTCTTGATCGTCCTGCAATAAAAGGGTGTAGCGTGGTGTCGAGTTGAGCTTAACTATGAACACCGCTACAAGACTACGTGCCAATAGACCAATAAGGGTAAACAGAATCTATTAACACAATATACATAATGATTTCGACGTTGTTACACTGTTACCAGTCGAAAATCGCGCCACTCCACGGTTTGCATTCTGATTGGTCTATTTTTATGGGCATTTGAGCAACGATAGTTCCATGTAACGTCCCAATTTCACGTGAACGAATAGTTCGTAATTGATTTCTTTAGGTGAATGATTACTAATATTATTATTCACTTTGCACTATTCATTTTTTTCAGTCTGTCGTGAATCCACAATACTACTTAGTTCTTCTGAATTCGTGGTTGCATGAAAGGCTTTGAAAGAAATATTTGGCGTCAAGGTTGGAGTTGCTTCGTGGAAACAACGGATGGATTTCAACTCAGCGTGTCAATATAAAGGGATGGTGGAAAAATTTTTTGGCTCAGATAAATGATTTTGATGGAGTTTTGTTCTCTGAGCTTGATGGTTTGGTCGTGGAGCTTTCATCGTCCTTCTGGACGACATCACCAGAACAAATTTCAGTTAGAAGGAAGTGTTCGAATTTCTCCACATGTGGTTCGTAGCTTGTCCTGTACACCTTGATGCCGACTGGTTCTTGTTGACCTTAAACCTATCATTGTCCACTTCTCTGTTTTGGTTGCATCTCCTATTGGTTTGATATTTGTTCCTATGTTTGCGCATAATACATTTTATGATATAAAATAAGCGAGCTTGTCAGAAGAAATACATTGACCTAAGTAGCCATGAAAAAACTGAGAAAACAAGGCTGATTCAATGAAAATTTGCGACAACACTTGGAGTATTACATTAAGCGCGGAATTTCAGCACACCGAAACATCAAATTATGCAGCTACATAAAAGAAATAGAAGACGGGGACAGAACGAGGAAATCTGACCGCTATTTCTTACAAAGATAGTCGATGTAATAATTCTTGCTTCATTCTGATTGGTCACTAAGCATTCTGCCACGATTACGATATTGAGGTGGGTTTACTTGCAGCTTAGGCGACTGAGTGTCCTGTTGGGTGTTAGCTAGCTGTTGATCATAATTGCACCAGAAGAAGAGTGCCTTTACTTGGTCAACATCTCGAGAGTAAAATTGCTAAATACTAAGATTCAAGCCTTCAGGTAGTGTGATCATCGAAGCCAATGCTTCCAAAACCCGTATGTGTAGAGAGGGTGATTCTCAAAACTCATAAAGTGTGTGGTACATAACTGCTTATAGCGCTAGGTAAATCGACATTTCTGTAAGTCCTCTATATTTGACGCTGACCGCATTATTATTGCTGGACTCACCAAGCTGAAGGCGCGTGGTCACGCATCCACACCAGATCACGAGCGGGTACATCGTGTTTCGTATCTATTACAACCCCTAGCCAGCTTAGATTGATCACTTCTTCATATATCGACAGCCTTGCTAATAGATCTTCGAACCTCTTCTCTTCTGACTTCTGATTTGACTGTGTTAGCACACTTCGATTATAAAGGTGTTACATGTATGGACGGTGCCAAACTCCCAATACTTGTGGCTTCTTTACATTCTTAGTCTTTGAAAAAACGTCAGAGCCAAGTTTGATGGATGAATTAAATCCAGACACAATTGTTGTCACAGAAACGTATGTAAATCACTATCATAGATGACCCATGTCGAATGATTTGGAGATTACTCTAGTTAAACGAGAATGGTGTGACGAACTAGATAAGGTCAAAATCACATCTCGCGACCAGCACCTGGCGTGGGTTCTCCTTCTAGTGAACGGAATGTATCAACTGAAACATTAAATAACAAAGATCGGTTCAGCAAAGGGTTTTATTTCGGTGACTGGATTTGGTCAGGGCCCAATCACAACACTTATTGTGATGTCGATGACACTCAAAGCCTCTCCTCAAATGCAAACACTGATAAAATTGTAGTGTACCTTAAGTTTCCGACACAAACTTTATGATGTATATCAGCTCTCTCCATGTCCAAATATCTGGCAAATTAACGTTTCGTTAGAGGCTATGCTATCTCAAAAGATTTGTTTGTCCATGCAGGTGTTTCGGTCGAAGACGAATAGAATAAGTCTAAATCCACATTTGAGTCTGTAACCTAGCAGCTCATCTCATGGTCAGCGTTTGGACAGTGACATTACCGTCCATGGGTCGATGAGGTAACCTGACATCTGGTGAGGCATAGAAAACACTTCTGAAACATTCTTTTCAACAGGTTACGAACCACTTAGGTACGAATATTGGAAAACCCAGAAAATATGTGGAAAGACCATAGACAAACTCAGCATCACTTACGAAAGACATTTTTATACGATAGTCGTACTTTCTCAAACTGATTTTCCGTGCATTAAACGAAGAAAAAACAGTAGTGGTGGAATTCCTCCATTGTTCTTGCACGAAAACTCAGATATACTATCTGAATTAGGTTTAGCTAAAGCCAAAACTTTATCGAACTGCTTCAGTGAAGTATGTGTACTCGACGAGGCATTGTTGACAATACTTCTCAATGCACCATCACTGATGTACCAGATATGGGATCGTAAAATATGTCTAACGAAACTTCTTCAAGTGGCCACTAACTTCAGATTCAAGAATATCGATACCTGGTGTGTCACATTTACGAATGCTTTCATCTCTTGCAGACACAATTCCCGGACCAGACACAATACTTTGCAACATGTCCCTCTCTAAGACTCGACGTCCTAGGGATTAGATAGGTGCTGTGGTTAGTCCTAAATTTGAACATGGAAAGGAGTAGTTCGTGTCTAACTACAGACTTGTCATTCTAACCACAATAGCAGTTAATTTACTCCTAAAAATGATTCAGGTTGTCACTAGGTAATTTAGAAACACGCAATCTGTTAACTCCTTAGTAACAAAATTTTCAGTATATGGAACCATGCGTAACTAACGTACTAATTGTGTGAGTGTATCCGTCAGAGACCCATGATAATGGCTTATCTCTTCATGTGATGCTCAAAGATTTTGGCATTACATTTGATTAGATTTCTCACTTAGAGTTTACGTATAAGCTTTCGAGCTTTGTAATAATAAGTGTCGTACAATAATGGATAAGAAGCCTCCTCTTTAGCTGAAGACAGAGAGTGAGGGTAAATGGGACACTGTCACACTATGAGCTGGTCAGAAGTGGTGTACCATATAGAACTATCCTAGGACCGTATTGTTTTTTCTCAAGGTCAATAGGTCACCGTCTTTGATTAAGTCGTCGACATTATCGCTTACAGATTGCGCCAAAATCTGGCGAAACTTAAATGTTGAGGTTGACCTTATGGATCGCTAAGCTGACCTAGCTGAATTAGTTGGATGGACACAAAGTCGGGGCCTAGAAACTAATTGTAGAAAGAGTGTGCTTATGCACATCTTACATGGCAATAGATACCAATGTACTTTAAACGTTACAACGCATCTGTGGGTTAGGTAACAAAGATTTAGGGATAACGGAAAGTCACGACTTAAAGGCAACTGCGCATTGCGATGCAGTAGATGCCAACGTTTTTCTAGGGTCACTTTGTTGAGTATTCAAATGTCCTGAGGTGGAGATTTTTGGGTGTCATATCACACCTACGTAAGACGACCTACAGAGTACCGTGTCCAAGCGGAAAGTTCATGCCTTATTAAAGATACCAACATACTCGAAAGTGCTCAGCGTGTGAGAATAAAGTTAAAGAAAGGTCTTTCAACGCTCCTTTGCAACGAGTGCTTAAAACTTCTGATTCTCTTCCACTTTTCCTATCACAAAACGCGATGCCACCTTTTATTTTAAGTCCATTCCTTTAATAACGATCAGAATGTAATTGTGATTTTGTTATGTCCCGATAAGCATAATGAGTGGTAACTTTTGGAATCCATTTATGGGCTGTAGGGCCAGTGAAATTCCACTTAGCCCTAGCCAAATCCTCCGGCAGTTGGGTCACTGAATATCGAACAAATAATCGATCCTTGTCAAGGTCAAGGACCACCAACGCGCATCAATTAATCGTACGCCCATGCGGCAGTGGTCTTACTTTCGCTTGTATCTACTTTATCTAATATACTTCTGTAATAACGTCCTCTGTGTTGTACAGTCTTGAATGCATCTAAAGTACCTTGATACGTCAGTGGGGTAGTCCACGTATGGTGCTGACCACGATGTATGACTTCGACGCTAGCTGGTTCAACACACCATTCCCGCCTAACTCGAGTAGGCTTCCGATCATTCGACATAGATCATCTAGGTTGGAGATCTACAAGACCAATACTATGAGTATACTTTTATCGTTAATTGTTTAATAACTAGTTATACACATTCGTTTCCCTCTTATTATGAGCTTTATTTCGACCTATGAACTATTATTATACAATTTACTATTCTTGAATTATGCGCTGTCTATTTATTACTGCATCCCTCAAATTTGGCTAATTCTTGTACAAATGTTGTTTCATATTTTATGGTACGATGTGGTCTGTTTGGTTATTATATAAACCCAGTGTGCTTGAAATAAATAGTTCGTATTGCAGAGGCTGAGATTGGTGTGAGATTGTAAGCCTATAACTAATTACGAACATAATGAGTCTATTCGTGCTCTTCTAGTTCTACCTGCCTTAAAATGCTGGATTTAGGGAATTTTTAGTTAACATGCTAGTCCGAATACTTTTAATTATCATATTAGCGTCTCTATGGAGTCAAATTTTGGACAGTTGGATATCAATTTAAGTGAGGGTGACATTGAGAAAATACATAAAGCGGCTCAAAATCTCGTGCACGACTAGGAAAGATATTGAGAATGTTAAATCCACAGCTCATTTCCTTACGTTCATTGGCAAAGAAGCTTATGACTTGCCTAAGAATCTGGCTTTCCGAGAGAAACCAATCTTATTGTCAGATGAGTCCTTCGAGGAATTACTATTTAGTCATGTCTAATGTTCCGGCTTTGAATGCAGCGGCAGATTGGAGTTTCATAAAATGATACGAGGAAATGATAAAAACGTTAGAGGCTTTATACTTGAACTACAGGAACAGGCTGCAATTGAAAAGTGAACTTTGTGATAGGCTGATTTCTGGGATAAATATTTTGAATTTAGGGAGGGAATCAATTTCGAAGCTCAAACGTTCATTACAAGAAATTAAAACAGCACATATTAACTATGAGACAGTAAATGAACCTGGTGTCCAGTCAGCAAAAGTCTTTAATACTTTGCTCGGACGTCATGATGAGCTACATACTTAGTATCGCTCATGCTGGCGTTAGCTTAGTAATTTTGCTATTTCGGAGTAAAACATTCTTCTGTACTCGATATCAGGCAAAACATGTGATTGAACTAGCCAACACTGGGC